GGGGGGCACTTCATGTGTAAATGTAACATCAGCCTATAGTGGGGCTTTAAAGAGGAACTTCACCCTCCTCCATTATTTTTTTTAAATCCCCACTTACCTTGTTTGCTGAGTTATCCTAAAATGACATACTCACACGTCAATTGAATCCAGCACTCTCCTGCTGTAATTTGCTGCTGCACGCTCGGTCCCACACCACCACATTCATGGAATGTGCCATAGACCACCCCTATTGATGTCCCAGGAGGATATGGGGTGCTTTATGACTCAATGCTGCATGGGTGAATGGGATGTAATTCTTACTTAGGCAGGAATCCCAGATGTGCCAGGAGGAATCCCAAGGAAAAAAGTTATGGGGGAGGGGGAATTTAAATGATAATTTATGATAGATGAGGGTGGTAGGAGGGCAATGAGGCAAAGTGGGTGGGGAGGGTCCACTTTAAGTAAATACTGCTGAATGATGAAAAATGTGGAAAAGCATTCACTTTGAAGCCCCTCTCTCCAGATCTGAAAGAAGTATGTGTCACCAAGCGCAAAAGTGATGCAAACAATCACAAAAAGATCATGGTCCTGTGCCATGTGGTGACTAGTGCAACAAATCATTATCACCTATGAGGATCATGATATGGAAAAGGATGATAATGACAGCCTGTGAGAGAAAGAAAAAGAAATCACTTGTAGGAAGTTCCAGCGCAACCTGTGACACAGTAATGTATTCCCTCTGTGAAAGGTCGGAGATCTGATTGCTGGTTACACCAAATAAATAGCCAGACATCAAGCCTCAGTACCGAACCTTCAGCCCGATCACCTTCATTACTGGATGTGTGCGATGTTCTGAATGTCATCTGCACAAAGCAATGGAAGAAATCCCAAACATGTCAAATCAACCTGAAACTAGTGCTGTACAGTGGAAGAATTCTGCAGAATGGCGCTACAAGTGTAAGGCAGCCACATCCATGTCTATGTATGAGACTTCAAAGTTCTGGCGGAGCATACTGCGCTCCGCTCTATGAAGCATGCAATGGACTGTAATGCAATAGATCTAAACGTATGCATTCTGATCACAGGGATACTGCTGCCGCTTACTGAGGGTTTTCTTGTTATCTAAGGGTTAAATCGGTCCTGTGATCACCCCCACCTCTTCTAAAGCCATCCAGCTTGCTGGACTGTGAAGCATGAAGAGCTTCTTCTAAGATTGAAGTGTCAACTTCAGTCCATCAGCACCTCCCCACGCCTGCTGGGCTAATGGTTTTTCCCAGCAGTATATAAGACCATCCAGCGTTCAGTCACCCCCAGAGCATACCGAATTGCTGGAGAGCAGTTTAGGGGGGATGAAAAGGACCATTAAGACTTTGCAAAGGACGTTTCGAATGCCTAAGGTGGTCCTCCCTGCTGTATGAGACGAAGGAAGTCCTCTACAGCTTCTAATCCTCAAGCACTGGAGATGCTCCATGCGTCCTGGGTATTGTCCTAACAAGCTGTGCCAAGTTGCGCCACCACTTGTGTAACTTTGACGCCCAAGTCTTGACCTGCAGAGATGAACGGGACTTTCTTCAACCAGACGGTGCTGGACCAAGGGGCTTACAACAACTCCTCACAGGGTCTGGAATCTTTGATGGGATGCTGCAATGGTACCCGACCTGTGATCACCAGCGATGGTGGTGGCTCTTTGGTCCTGATTCCTGATGAAAGAAGCCTCTTCATCAACAGGGTGGTGCAGATCGCCGTGCTCTGTGTCCTCTCTCTCACCGTGATCTTTGGCGTTTTTTTCTTGGGCTGCAACTTACTCATCAAGTCTGAAAGTATGATTAACTTCTTGGTGAAGGATAGGAGGCCATCTAAGGACGTGGGAGCTGTGATCTTGGGTCTTTACTGAAGGATGAGCTCCTTGCTCCTAAAGACTATATGGTGGTCCTTCATATCTTGGACTTTGTGGATGCTACCAAGAAAACGCCGCATGGATCTTCTCTTGACTTGGCTGTGTGTGGAGAGTGCCAAACGAAAAACCCACTTTGACTGAATGTGATTTTTTTTCTTTTTTAACAAAGCTGCTAACCGTTTTTAATGGTTATCTGCCTGTACTGCATCCCCATCCCTGTGCAGCCAGTTACTGGTTTATTTTATATAGTGATGGTTTGCAGCCTGTTCTTTTTCTTTCCTCCTTTCCTCTTTTAAAATGGGGTTTGGGATTTGCATGACCCTTATGTTGTTTCCTATCTCAAAGGTTCTTTGACACCTTTTAATATTTGTGTGAAGACATCTCAAGCATGCTTTCAGGGCTGCAGACCCTTTTTTGGACCAATTGTTTTTGCACTGTATTTAATCAATGGCCAGGCATGATTTGTATTTGGATTTGGAATGTTTTTTGTAGTCAATGTGATTTTGCATTTTCACACAATAAAGATGGCAAATAAATTCTGCTATTTTTAAATATCATGTATCTTTTCTTTATGATGATGATAAAATGACACCACAAATGTAGATTAAGTCATATTTATATATTGGCAGTGTGCAAAGTGCCATCAAATGTACGTAGCAACCAACCAGATCATCTGTCCATGCTCTTGCTCCACCATACTGATGAAACACGGTTGCTATGGGTTACATGTGTCTGCCTTACTGCCATCGATTCTTGTACTGCCTTCTTATTAAGGTTCTGTTCCATTTTAACTCAAGGCGATCTTGCTGTTCTTGTAAGCTGCACATTCCAAACCTCCACAACTTTTCATGACAGTGTTTTGATTGATGCTCATTGAAAGGCTTGTTGCCTTTTCTTTGGAGAACAGGGAACAATTCTTAATTGGCCGTACTGTATATTTGTCAGTATAATGGAAGATATATACAGCCACCAGATGTTTATTGCTTCTGGTTTAAATATGAAATGTTTTTCTATTAGCAGTCATACAAAAACTGCAGAAACCTATAACATTAGGATTCCAGTGTACTGCATTCAGATCTAGAAATGCTGATTTCTGATTGGTTCCTTGGTGTTATTATAATTTAAACATAATAAATATATTGCGTTATTACTGAATAAACCCAGAAAATGGTAAGTAAACACCTCCTAGGTCATACTGGAATTAGGTGTCTCTTTTATGTCTTTTATTGAACTTTAAAGGGTCAGTCAACTCAAAAGCCTATCTCCAGATACAAAAAAAAACCCCTCCACTTGCAGTGAGGCAAACCCGCTATCCCCCCGCTCAGTTTTAACTGCTAATGTTTGTCTTTATGGGCCCATTCACACCACATCTAGATTACCTCCAGACCAGATCAGATTGTTTCCAGATCCAAAATGCATCCTAATGTATGCCTATGCTATTTCTGACCTATGTTCACACCAGCGCAGTCCGTTCCAGACCAGAAAAATACTGCGTGTCTCATTTTGTCTGGTCTGGAATGCACTGGAACTGTGGGGAAGTTCACACCATTTTCCGGACCAGACCTGGTCCGGAAAATGGTGTGAACCTGCCCTATAGCAGTTTTACTTAACTGAGCCTACTTAAACTCTGAGAATTCTCTCTAACATAATTCCAGAGTCTCTTCCTAGCCACCTGGGAGTTTTGGGTGTTCCCACCGACCTTTATGTGTTCCAGCTCCCCCTGTTAATTTTTTCATAATTTAACATTAATAAACAATTCGATACATTCCTGAAAAAAAGATAAAATAAATCATAAAGTATTTTAAAGCAGATCTACGAGGATAATTATTCTTAACCCTTGCAGTGGGGCTACCCCCGCACTGCAAGAGCGAAGTGCTTGTTTTTGTCTAGGTTCAAAAATAATAAAGTTATACTCACCCAATCAGTGCCGTCACAAGGGGGGTGCAGCCCGCACCCGGTTGCCACCATTGGAGGGGTGACACCAAAATGACTAGCAGTCATTTTGGTGTCACCCCCTATGAAAAGTCGGGCACTCGGTCACGGACCGAAAGCCCGACAGTGTCAGGAGAGAGGAGGGGACCCGGCGGCATACCTCATCCCGCCGGTGAATGTCCTCTTTTCTCTCTGCCGCCTTCCATCACCAAGATGGCCACCGGCAGACGTCAATAAGACGGCCGCGCATCCGCAATGACGCTCCGGGTATCACCTAGCCTCGGGACGCCCCTGCACACAATCCTCCAAGTCCCGCCTGCCCCGCTCCCCCTCTGGTGCAGAGGTCTTTGGTTCAGTGAGTCATCACATTCTATACTCTACGTATAGGTTGTGAGGATGCCGAAGGACATTCCATTGCTGCAGCAGAGGTGACAGCTGAAAGGGCAAGCCGACTCAGAGGATCGGGTGAGTATAACTTTGTTATTTTCTGAATCTAGACAAAACGAGCACTTAACCCTTGTATTGCAAGCCCCACTGCACAGCTTAAGAATAATTTTTCTCTGGAGTTCTCCATTTACTCTCCAGCATCTACCAAAACCTGAAGTCAGTTTTTGATCACTGAACTGAAAGATCTAAGTGACTGAACTATACTATGTACTGTATATATCACATATGATAGTTTATAGATCATTGTAAGATTTCAGACACAATCATTAATTTCTTGTCTGGAAAAAAAACATAGTACAAATGTTCCCAAAACCCTTCTTGTTATTTTTAATCAGGAGGCGATTATTTCATATGTCGTACATATGTTCTATGTAAACAATTATATACATGAGGTGGGATTAACTTTCCCATCATTCTCCCAACTATTTCCAGATACTATATTTGAGCTTTTATACTGTGTTATGTTATGTATTATATAGCTAAGGAGCCCTTATGTAAAGTTTTCTGGCCACAACTACCTGTCATTTATTCTAGGATGTAGGTAGATCAAGGAAAATGGTTCATGTTGACGTTGGTGGCAGGTGAATATATTGATTTGAAGGGTCTGGCAGAATAAGTCAAGCCCTTTTGTGCACATGTATAGATATATGCTTTCAGGCTATTAGAGGCCTGCTTTTTTTAATTAAAAAAAAAAGTTTAATTTATTTTGCAAAATATGGAAAATGTAACAGGAACACTGAGGCTCCTTCAGCTCCTTCAGCTCCTTCAGCTCCCTGAGAGGTCAGGGATCAGAGTTCCAACTGAGGAGGTATTGATACTACAACCTCTGGAAGGCATCAGAAGCAGGTGGATGAGTGAGCCATCAGAATCTACCCATGGTTGGAATGCTCATATGATCTCAGGATAATGATGTTGACTGCCAATCATCGCTGTATCTGTTTTAATGCAATTAAAAAATACATTGTTTGTACCTGATAGTTTGCTACGTGTGACAGAGTACATTTACTCATTTTATTCCAAATTGAATCCTGCACCAGCCATGGACAAGAACATTGGTATAGATGCAGACATGCATAACTGTCTCTACCAGACACGTGTATGTATATACATGAGGGACAGTCAACTAACTGGTAAATTCCCTTCACCATGTAAATGTAGCCAGTACACATGTGCCTGTTTGTCTTATTAGCACAAGATCATTGACCAGTCCATTTCAAAATGCACCAGAAAGTCAGACCGGTGCTCTAGAGCATTACTGCCTGATAACCAATTCTTCCTGCTGTACAGTAAGATTGGTAAACTAGTAATATTATAGAAGTCCCTAGAGGTAGTATTAATGCACATAAGGCATGCCACATTTTAACCAATCAAATGAGACAGCGGACATGTGTGCACTGGTTGGTGGTGATGTCGGACATGAAAGTTGTTGCTTTAAGGCTGGTCCTTGATGACCAGTTTGACATTTCATCACTGCAGAAGAGCTAAAATTGAACTAGAAGCATTTGGAGTTTACATCTCCCTTCTTCTCTGTATTCAAACATATGTCTCAGATGTGTACATATAAAAAGTACATATAAAATGGGGTCTGTATATAAGTATGTGTTTGTGAAATATATTTCCATTAACAGGGGAGTCCCTAGACTTTGCGCTGAGGGGGAGTGGTGGATAACTGAAGGGGAGTGCTTGTGATTTACATTACTGGGGGTGGTGCTGTACCCCTGGTTCCAGCTCTGTCCGGCGTCCTGCCCACTAACGTCACTGGTTGCCAGGAGATTAGCGGGATGCTGACCAGAGCGGCACAGGTTGCCAGGAGATGGGTGGGATGCTGACCAGAGCGGCACAGGTTGCTAAGCTCTTTGTAATCTAGGACGCTCTGGCCAGAAACGGGGTGGCAGGCACACGCATCCCCACGTGACCCAATGAGATGCCACCTGAGGCAACCCACCTCAAGCCCTGCCCATTAGGTATATAAAACACATGATCAGTTCTCATAAACAATACATCATATAAAGCTGAACGTCAGACAAAGAGATGAAATACATATGAGTGAACTGTTTGATCAGCCAGTGACTTGTCATTCTGTTCAGCTAGGTTCTGAACCTTTCTCTGGAGTACCTTGAGTTTACGGTGATATAGTCTTGTCTAAGACCCACCCCAGCTTGAGAATGAACAATAATGAAGCAGAAGAACATTGATACTATTACCTCTGTCCTCCTTCAAGGATGTTTCCTGTAAGTGACAGAGCCCTCCCTGTTTCTTTCCCTCTCCCAGTCTGAGTTCTGCCTAGGGGCCAAACAAAGGAGTCTAATATCAAATGAGATGCATGTACTTGGTTCGATGTAAAAATACATTTAGCAATCTTTTTAATGAATAAATAACTGGATAACACAATGTTCTTTTTCTAGTTGCCTTTAGTTTCAGCTTTAATATAAAGAAATGAGCATGCTATGTGCTCAGAATGGATGCACTTTCTGTTTTAAAATCTGTCACTTATATTGTTTTCAGAGGTATATTGGTGAAAAACCTCAACAGATGTTTTGGGATTAAGGGCTGAAAAACCCACCCAAGATCCCCTATGTTCTAACAATCTGAATGCTAAAATCTCTGCAGAACAGCCGCTGCAAGATCGGAAAAGGATTTGTCGGAGGGATAAAGCCTTTTTTTCCCCATCGCTGACAGGCAGAGAATAATACCCTTTAAAAAGGCATATTGTCACCCTCTTTTCTTCTACACGGGAACAGTAAAATCACAACGCTCCCCAGCAGATTTAATCCCA